ATAAGGTTGTAGTGAGAGTGATATAGGTAGCATTTACAAAGTGCTTAGGACATCTTATTGCTCCTGGAGGGTGAAGGCTATTCTCTTCTGCAAAAGTGAAATAAGTTTCATCTCAAGACTTTTCCTCATATCAACTCCTGAACAGTGTTTGCTTCATTTTTAAGTTGCTACTCATCTGGAAGTTTGGGTTAATGCATTATTGTGTATGAAATATGTAGATATATTATTGATATATTTATCTTTAGTTATTTTATTTTGCCTGAGTGATAGTTCAATAATGGTTACAATTTGATATCAAGTGGACCCTATTGTCACTTGTAACTTAATGCCAAGTGGTAATCCCTTGAACCTCTTAAGTATAAGTGTTCTAGTGCCTCATGAATGAGTTGAATTGTGGCTCATATTAACACAAAGATAACTCTCTAATGAAATGAGATCACTAATTTTTTGTTTTTTTGTTTGTTTGTTTTTTGAGATGAAGTCTCACTCTCTTGCCCAGGCTAGAGTGCAGTGGCACGATCTTGGCTCACTGCAACTTCTGACTCCCAGGTTCAAGCAATTCTCCCTGCCTCAGCCTCCCAAGTAGCTGGGATTATAGGAACCCGCCACCACACCAGGCTAATTTTTGTATTTTTTAGTAGAGATGGGGTTTCGCCGTGTTGGTCAGGCTGGTCTCGAACTCCTAACCTTGAGTGATTTGCCTGCCTCGGCCTCCCAAAGTGCTGAGATTACAGGCATAAGCCACCATGCCTGACAGAGATCGTTGATTGTAATGTCATTATTTGTTAATTTTTCTTGAAATACACTGTGATATAGTGTAATAAGAAGTAATCCTTAAAATCATTTTACTTTATTATCATCTTGCACCAAGAAAATAGAAACCAACAAAGACAGACAATGAAGGGGATTGTCATGAACAATAGCATGGAGGGTATTTAAGCTAAAATACTTTGTTATTGCTTACGGATACTTTAAGTCCCCAAAATTATAATACTTATGAATTGTCTAAAGAATGTCTTATTAATTCATTTAACCAAGACAGTTATTTCCTGTGTGTTTTGGATATGAGTTTCAGGCAACCAACAGGCAATGAGACTATCATTTGATAGTGTCACTTGTGCTTGGACAAGAAGAGAAGCCCTACAAGAAAAAGTAATTAAAAACAATCTCTATCATGGCCAAGTTAATTGACCTTTTAATATAAAGTTAATTGAATTTCTAATGCAAATTTATCCAGATGCTTATAATCTATCTAGAGAAAGGAACATTTGGCCTGCACGGTGAGTCCTTACATAAAGGTACACATAGAAGCTGATATAGAGAACTTAACAAAATAGAGGGAGCAACTCTTGGAGTTCTTCTGACTGAGCCCCAATAATGTATTAATAACAAGCTCTGCCTTGGGGAGAATGTGGGTGCCCTTTAAGGTCGCTTTTCATAAGAAATCAATCAGAAATGTAAGAAAAACTCCAAGAAAAATTCAAGTTATATATACTTAGTTTTCACTACCCAACCAAGTTATATGAAATCAAAAGCAATGCATTTAAAATCCCTAGGTCTACGTGTCTGTTGCTTGAAAAACCAGTGTTTTGAGGGGAGAGGACACTCTACTTCAGTTAGTTTGAGTGCTGACGTAGGAACTGAGAGATGGTTATCTAATCACCTATTATTGGCCTGACTGCAGAACAATGCATTACTATACAGCAAGGAACTTTCTATTCTTGCCTTACAGAAATGGTCTTCCCACATATTCTATGATCTACAGGGTGCCTGAAAGTTTTGTATTGTCCCATGGCTTGAGTATCCTTCCAAATCATTCATTAAACTCCAGTGCCTAGCAAATGAAGCCGTTGATCCTGTTCAGTCCTTTGTGCTCAGCTCCTGTAATGTATCTCATAGGGTCCCATTTCTGTCTTAGTTTACAGGTTTTACTACCTCAATTTTCTTTCCTTGTTTTTACAGATAGGTAGGCACATGGCTTTGGTGCAAATATTCTCTAAGCATTCATAATGGTGCTACCACTTCTCCCACCGTGCTTCAAAAACACACAAAAGCAAACCAGCTAAAAGCCTTCCTAGATGAAATTGCTACTTTTATACCACTTAATTATCATGTTTTGAGGTGGGGGGGTCTATTTGATTTTTTTCAGAGACATGAGCAGGGAGGGGATGCACATGTGCCCTATCGATTAGCTTCTCCTCTTGAGTCTGGTGTTTGTGTGGAAAGAGTTTTCATAGTTTAAGAGAGGCTGTAAGGTTTTTGCAAAAGGTGCTTGGCACTTCAGTTTACAAGCCAAGCAATTATTAGGGCTCTGAGAAATTCGAAAGAAAGGAAATAGTTGGCAAACTCTTTGAGTCATCTTCCATATCAATAAAGTATAACTGATAAATAACACTGTTATCCATAGATTTTGCATTCTAATGTTAGGAAAATGTATGAAATAAGTATTATATGAACCCAATAGGAATAAAGAGAGGAAAACAAACCATGAACAGAAAAACAGACCATGTAACTTTTACAGAGAACAAACTGGGAAGTGTAAAGTTATGCATGTATGTTCATGTATATGAGCTTGTGTGCTTTAATGAGACACAATGAGTAGCCAGAATTGCTTTATTCAGGGTCTTGAAGTATTCTTGTTGTCATTTTCTGCAATTGTTTTTAGGTTTTGAGAGTAATGCATATATTCTAAATCTCACAGAACATACTTTTGGATCCATCAGCATTGGTGCTTCCATAAATTAAACCACTCAATGGGTGTTCATTATTTTTCAACTTCTAATGAGTGTTGCCTTCATGCTAGATGGTACATGGGAAAAAAGAATCCCATATTCTTTTTGGTAAGAGAGAATGCTATTAATTTACAGTGCATATATTTATACCTGAAAAAATGTTCTGGAAAGCAGTCATGGCCAATGTGTTCTCCTTGCTCTAGGCTCTGCTTAAAGGATAATCATTTTATCTTTCCCACTATTTGGTTCTTATGTTCAAATGCCGGAAAATTTTTTAAGAGTTAGAAAGAACTACAACTCAAATCACATTTAATCCAGCTTCCTGCTTCTATTTTCATTAACCTATTGTATACTAACTCAGCCACTATATCATTACTATACCAATAATTGTATTTACATTTATAATTTTTTAATCCACTCAAGCAACTCACATATGAAATACAGGTGTTATCCACCCTCATAATATTTTCTGTCATAATTTTTCTGACATATGTTGAGAGCAGTTTGATGGTTCTCTTGTTCTGCAGCATATAGACACCAGCATTTCTATAGACGTTAAAACCTAAAAGAAACTTAAGAGACCATCAACACTCTCACTTCACAAATAAGAAACCTGGGGACCAACAAGGCAGAACAAAACCCAGATCTTTTGACTTTAGTCTAGTCCAACAAATTGCACTAAACAGATTTAATAATTAATTCTTAACTTGCTAAGGGAGAAAGTGTCTGAGACAGCTCTCTATCAATTTAGAGGTTTATTTTACCAAGATTGAGGATGCAACTGAGAAAAAGAGACACAAGTTGCAGTAGCATCTGGGATCTGTGCTTTTTCCAAAGAGGTGTTTGAGGGCTTCAATATTTAGAGGGGGAAAAGAAGCAGGAGAGAAGGAGGAAAGAAAGTAATAGGGAGAGTAGGTAGTG